TATATTATCAACTTAGATTTTACTTTACTAGAATCATACTTGACCTAGCAAAAATACATAAGATGCAAAGTAGGATGAGAAAGTTGACGGAAAAATTTGAGACAAAATATTTTAGCTTCGAATTGTATTCATTAAAGCGAAATATTAGCCTAATAATATCTTAATACTCCAATTTAGATACAATGATTGGACAAAACTTTGACACTTAAAGGAGTATTTTACCTATGATACCTTTGGGAGAGTAGTATATTAAAGATTTTGAAATAGATTTAGGATAAAATTTAAATAAAGATTTGAAAAATGATAAAGTAATTCACTTATGTTTATGCCAATGATATAAACTTTTAAAATAAAACCCCATATAAACACTTTTTTTATTTAAATAATGTTATAGTTATCGAAAAGTAGTGAACTACAACTACGAGTACTAGGAATCGAACTCTTTCCCTGCCAATAATTAAACACAAGAAATAATTTCAGCTATATTGGTCAGCCAAAAATTTAATTAATTAAAATAATATAAAAAAGAATTTTGTTGTTGTGGTTCACTACTTTACGAAATCTCTCTGAAAATTAACTCTTAAAATGAATTCCTCAAGGCATTCAAAACTAGATATCAGCTAAACTATACCAAATATTAAAAGCAAAATAATTTATTTTTATTTTTGGAATAAAAAACTATTAAAAATAAACGTTTGGACTTACCTAAAGAGTTAAGCAATAATAAACGAATATTATATATTTAAACATATTATTAGGAGTACAGCAATCAAAAGTGCATTAATAGATTTTAAATACAATTTCCAAAATTAATCATCAAAATTCGTATATATTATTAAAATCTTCAACTAAATCTGCAATAAAATCGCTTTTCCATCATTTCTCTCCATTTTGATGCCCTGCGGACTTATCAGCATTATAGGATTGTAATAATTGGTTGTATTCATTAATTTTTATTTTTACATTAAAGGTTTATTATCGTTCTTTAATAGGGACGTATAGCAACATCATCGATATACCAAGGCTATAAAGTTGACTAATTACACTTTCAAGCAATTATTTTAGTAGAGAAATTTATGTTCAGTGAAAATTTGAATTATGTTATAGAAATGGGAATAATGACTATTTTTAATTAAGCATAGTGACCTAATTCAATCGTAGACTAAAATTGAAAGCTAACAAAAATTTTATTTTAAAAGAGATTATACGATATACACTTAAAGTAAATAGAATGTCACCATAGGATTCTTAACTTTAAACAATCTTGGCAAACATACTAAACTTCTCTTCTCTTTACCTTTCACCAGTCAAAGTTGGAGCTCTATACCGACTTACTAAAACAAACCCAAAATATCGTCAATTATTTAATAAAACAGAATTTAAAAAAGTAAAATTACTATTCTTTATAATCTACTTTTTGGATTTTTACTAACAGAATCAGTTGAAATAGCCGGTGTAAACCTGTGCTACTTAAATTAAGTCATGTAAGCCTTACTTAAATACTGATTTTAGGCTATCCATAGAATATATTGTTCCATAATTATTAACATGAGTCGCAAATGTACATCGATGTGAATACGTAACCTTTCAATGCAAATTCCTAGTTTCAGCCTTTACGTGGCGCGACCTGGACAATGCGTTAAAGAGCAAACGATATCGTATTCGGCGAAGCGATATGTAGTAGCCATATGATGTAGCAAATGAAACACATTTTGAAGTTAAGGTCAGTAGGCTTACATGGTAATTAGTAAGATTACTATGTGTTGGAGACGGTGGCGAAAGAATCTCTACAGGAAATCAACGGCATAGGTCGCAACCTCAGAAGTAGGTTACTGATTAAAACAAAAGCATGTATTCATATCTGACCCTCCTAGAAGGGAGTTGAGCGTAGGGTTTACAATCCAACCTCAAAAAACTCATACTTTAATGAAACCACAACATATACTTTGGATGTTACGATAAACTGGGAATCAGATCGATCAGATGGCAAAAATTGGTTGCGGAAGCACTGATCCAACCAGGACTGTTATGCTAAGAAAGAAGAAGAACACCTTTTCTTAAGGGTCACCATATGCTACTTCAGAAATTTTAGGAAATTTAATATCCATATTTTTGTAACTTTTGGAATTCTTATTATAAAATAATCCTTAGGATATCTTTATGAAAGTGGAAATCAAATCATGCAAACTTATAACCTATTTTTTTGTTTTGTTTTTTTTTAATTTAAATATTAAAGAATATATATCGTATAAGATATTTTCTAGGACCATAGTTGAAAGTGTCACATTATAACGAAAGTCTTTAAAGCTTTTTGCTTATCACAAGACCAATTATTTCAAAATATAATTTTGATTTTCAATTAATATTAACATTTCACTTTCTTAACTATTAACCATCTCCTATACAAATAAATACGTCTAAATTAATGTAAATGTCATTTTTAATAGGGATATGTCTGACATTATCTTCTTCTTATATTTAAGTTGAGATTAGAACATAATCTCTGATTTTTTGTATGATTATTATTATGATTATTATTACGATTATTATTAGAAGGTATTATAAATATTGAAAAAAATTTTTTAAATGTTTGTAAATTTCTTTTTTGGTGATATAACTCTAACACTGTTATCTTTATAATTTGAATACTGAGAGTCAGTCAATATATACTATATTTAATATTTTCACTTGTCAATACAGTCCAAGACTATATTAAAACTTTTTTATGATTATATGACCCTAGCTTAAGACCTTTTTATGTCGAGCTAACCATTTCTTTATTCTCTCATGTCATGTCCATTTCTACGTTCATCTACATATTGCTTCCCCATTTAAGTACTTAACTTTTAACATTTCAATAAAACTTTTACAATTCTTTTTTTTTTTTTTAATTTCAAACCTCATATTGAAGTTAACTGGAAAATATTGTTAAAACTTGTTTTCACTCGCATGATGTGAATAATATTTTTACTTCTTCCTCAACACGCCAACGACAGACAATGTTCGCATTCCAAAGATATGACGGTGCACATGCGCAATGCGCACCACAAGAACTCAAACGAACCCATGACAAACTCTGCACTGGAGTTCAGTGCTGCTATGCCATATTCACACTGCGTGTTCATTAAAGCCAAAGAAGACTGAAGAAAAGGGTTTAACAGAAGAAACCATTCAACCTTTTCGCTTTGTTCGGCTCGAAACCCAAGCATCTTTGTTACCTCTTATCCGAGTCTGTCTTCTTACACTCTCGTGTGGCATTTATAACTGAGCAGACACGTACGTGATATGCGAACCAGTTATATGCTGAGAATTGCCAGAGGTTTGGACAAAGAAGTTGGCATAAAATCAAGAAGAACTCGGCAATGTACATCGCAAAAATATTGCAGTAAACGTAATTGCTTTGATCTAAATTCTTTTTGAAAAACAAGTACGAAGATACAAATATATATATAAATATAAATATTTTTTTTATCAAATTGCGAAAACAAGAAAATGTTTCGTAATATTATGTGACATACGAGTAGCAAAATAAAATTCTCGAAAAATACCCATAAACATCCTGCTAATCTCTGGCAATTAATCTGGCCTAAACGGAATTAATTTCTGACAAATTAAACTGTCAATAAAGAGGCAAGTTTTTATTGCAATGTTGAGCATAAATTTTTGGGATAAATTTTATGATAGGAAATATAGAACATTTCAAGTATAATAATAATACTTAACCGTATATTAAAGAAAATGAAAAATATTTTTCATATGAATAAATTTTCTGATAAAATTATATGAAGAGGAAATATTACTTGGTTTAATAATTTTGAAAAAGTTCAAAGGAGCAAAAACGTTTAACAAATCATTGAATTCAAGTGGAACAAAAGAGTTTAACAATCAATAACGAATCTTATCAGATCTTATTAAGATGTTTGAATGAAAAATATTCAAAAAAATACTGTCCAAATGTTAAAAAACCGTTTAAATAAATGTATTGATCACTTTTCTAGAACTCCTAGCAGCATGATGTTCCAGTAAGAAAAATATTGTCCCAACTAAAATTGAGTTTTAAATTTTATTTTTGCTACTTAAGTTCTGTAATAATACATCGAAATGTTATAGAAGTTTTTAAATGGATATATCACTCAATATCCCTAAAACTACTAGTAGACTATTCCAGGGAAAAAGGTATGGTTCTAAAAGAAATTTAATTTTTCAAATTGAATTCTCTTTTTGGAAACAAATTCAAATATAATAGTTATTTAAAAACACATCTAAATGTTATAGAAGTATTGACAAGAATGTATCAGTTTTGAGGTCAATTTCGCTGCTCAATGAAACTGAAGTCTGTTTAAATTGTTTAAATAATTATTCTACGAACTTGTAAATTAATATTTTATTGGCTTGTTGTTTTTTAAAATCTAAACATCATAAATAAACTTTATGTAACGTTGATTTATTTTGTCGAATATGACGTGAAAATTAACTAGAAAGGTTCGAACAGTAATGAAGAAACAACAACAAAAAATTGAATTCAATTAAATAATCTATTTTTTGTTGTTATTTTTTCATTACAGTTTGAACCCTTTTAAACTTAATATTTTTGAAACAAATATTAGATAAGTTTAAATGATATTAATTTAATTAAAAAAGTTAAATAATTTTACGAATATCTCTATTAAATTTAATTGGAAATTAATATGATTGTTAATTATGTCCAATTATCTGAATAAATATTAGTTTCTTTTTTTTTTAATTAAATAATTTTCTCAAAATGAATTAATTATTTATAATTGGCTTATAGCCAAATGGTTGTATGAGTGGTTGTGTCTGCACAATTGATTTGTTATAAATGAAATTATTATGTACATGCCGGGAATGCAAATGAAATTTGTTAGGAGTTCATTAACTGAAAGAAGTGTCAACTAAGCAAAGACCAAAACCAAGCACAAGAAAAAAGCAAGTAAAAGAAGCATAAAAATAAATTGGTTTCAAATGAATTTTTGGCTTACTGTCTCATTGAGCCCCAACGACGGTGTTGCAAGCTTTCCGGGTTGCTAAATATTTGAAGAAAAAAGATAAAAAAAATATTGGTAAATAATTTATGTCATTATAATTGCATTGTTATTTAATCATAAATTTAAACAAATAAATTCTTAAACAAAAAATTGCATTGTCTCTGATGGCCTTTTCAATATACTTTAAAGCCATTTTCAGTCATCAAAATATTTATCTCTTAAAGCTAAATAAGTTCTCTTAAAAGCAGAATTGTAACTGGAAAGACTGAACGAACAAAAACTATGCAACATGTTCCGTGCTATAATGTTTGAACGTAGTTACACAATTCGTAACTGAAAAGCTCAAATTTTACACAAAATTTGAATCAGTTTTAGTTAAATATTACTATTTATTGTTATACTTTTAAAGGAAAAGACTATGTATATAAGTAAATATTTACATAAACTTATAGTTATAAAAAATTAATAAAACAAAATTAAAATTTAAAAAAAAATAAAAAATTAAAAAAAAATAAAAAATTAAAAGAAAAATAAAAAATAACACTATTATTATTATAATATAAAAATTAATCATATAGAACTAACTAAATTTAATATTCATTATCTAAATTAATTAAATGTTTATAATCAATTAAAATAATACTTGTTTATCAAACGTATTTGCCTCTTTAATAAATATTTACGCAAAATATATAAAAACAAAAAACTATTAATAAAAACTTATTAAATGACTAATTTTTATATTCATTATATTGTTTAAAGAATTGTTTTATTATCAAATTTAAAATTTTTTTAATATGTTAAACTCATATATTATTTTTCTTGGTTTCTTGGTTAATATATATAAGTGTAATGTATAAACTATGAGTATAATATGATAGATAATATGATTATGATAGATAATTTATTATATAATATTAATCTTGATATTGAAATAAAATAATTTATATTAGTAATATATATTATTGATTTAAATGAAATAAATATTAAAAACTTATAATTTTGTTTATTTATTAATTTATATATTCTTTCATTTATTATAATTTCAGTTTATAGACTTAACATATTTATTAATAATTAATTAATTGCAATAATAAAAAATGTGTGTTACAAACAAAATGCTAGAGTTGTATATTTTAAAAGTTCTAGAATGAGGATAAAGCAAATGGAAAAATTTACAATCAATCATTCCGAATATTTTTGAATATATCATTAGTTACAAAAACAGCCGGATCTCTCATCAAGTTCGACGACCAAATGTCGTTGAATACTACCAAAATGGAAAACACAAACAAACTCCTAGTTAATAGAATAGTTCTCTTCTTATTAATTCAAATACAACTTATATTCATTAGATTCTTATCTTTAGTTGAAAATAAATATGAAATCTACTATATAACCTCAAAAGTATGTCGTCTTTAATATGATTATCTTATTTTGAAATTCGTTAGGAGTCTTCAAATCCAAACGGGGCAGTTCTCTGTTAACTACCACAATTAAAGAATGTAATTAATTAGATTTGAAACGTTGAACTAGGCGTATATAATTTCATTGTTAAATATATCTATAGCATATATTTGTAAAGATTAGTTGAGGAATTTTCTCCAAAGATTGCACAACGCATTTAATAAATTACGATTTATCATTATTCTACCTAATATGAATAATAATAATATCATGTTAGAGGCGCCCTAATGGTACAAAATAGCAATGAATTGTCAAATTTGGGATAGAGTAGTAAGATTGAATAAGAGCAAAACTGATGAAAATATCACAAGTCTTGAAATAACGATGCAATGGACCCATACCATAGATCAACACAGAAAAGATTTGAACATAAATACTATATAATTTGTTATCAAACTGTGTTTTTGGTATACAACATAAATAAACGGATTTATATATGATGAGTAGATGTGTGAAAAGTGAACCTTAATATTAGTTGGATCAGAACAGTTCTTGCTGCACTAAACTGAAGCCTCTCCTGCAACAAGTTCTTCACCTATTAAAATAATATATTATTACTAATATTATTAATATTATTATTATACACTTACTAAAATAATTTTATAAATATAGGATATTAGCTGCATAAGAAGTTAAAAAGATAATTAAAGACAGAAATTTTATTGAAATAAAATTTTTTTTATTATAATCTCGTATATGATTTCATGGCATTTATTTTTTGAAAATTATTTCCGACACATGTCTGCCGCGGGTACAATTTACATGATTCATTCGATCAGTCCAATTTATGACTATTTTTTTCAATAAAGATGACCTTATGGCGTCAATGGTGGCATACACGTTGGGCATTCAATGTTTCAAACTTGCTGGTTTGTTGGCATAAACTAATAACTTAACATAGCCCCATAAATAGTAATCGAGAGGCGTTAAAACGCACGAACAAGTGTGCAAGTTAACTTCAAGACAATTTCCTTGTCTTGCTCATGGTTTCGAATCGAAAAGAGTAAAATGATCAATAACGGCAAGAATTACTTACTCACTAGACCGATTTATGTTGACCATAAAATGGACGAAGTGCTCAATGAACTTCGCAAACAAATTTATTTTATTTTTCAAAGTAAATTTCTACAATTTGGAAGCGTTGATATAGCGTTAAATGATTCATGATGAATTCCCAAACCTTACTGAACAGAAATGTCAACGCAGTTTGACATTCTTAGCTGTCAAACAATAGTTATCGATATAGATAGTTCTCATGCAGCTTAAAGAATACCCTATACAACTAATATCAATTATTTGTCTTTTATTGGGATATATATTCCATATATTCCATCCTATATTTTCAGTTAAGATGGGAACTAAAGGGAAACCAAAAGGGAACTATCGTGACAATTTGCGATATACCTATTTATTTACTTATTTATTTTTATTTTGAATTCCTGTTATAGGTTTGAAATTTTTATTAATATATTATATTTAACGAAAAACCAAAAACTATTCTTTAACAAAAAATATGATGGTAACCCTTAAATAGTAATAGTGGTCATTTAAGAGTATTACTAAGAGTATTAAGCTTACATTAGTGCTCTCTTCACTTGCAACTTTTTTATTGGAATGTTCTCATCGTAACTAAGCATAAAAATGTAAATACCAAAAAATAACGACAGACAAGCAAGACAAACAAAAACAAAACCGGTTTTTTCTTTGATTTGTTATTTGTGATTTGTGCATTAAAAAAAAATGTAAATAACACACAAACATCAAAATCTGACTAAAATAAAACCGGTCACGAATAGCCACAAAAGTAATTACGTCAAAATTCGACGAAAAACCATGACAAAAACAACACACACACCAACAGACATAAAATGGCGTCTAGTACAATTATAGTTTGTCGATTTTGAGAAATGCTTTTTCGACCAATTTATGTTAGACTTAAATTAAGACCTCAAAACACACTCGAGCCACTTACCTTGTGGGCGCACGGCGCAAACTTCTGCGTGCCCAGCTATCTCGCGGTATCATGTCCAAGTCGTCATCGCTAAAAATGGGCATAACAAATGAAGTGCAGAAAGAGAGAAAAATTAATGCAAATTCTAACACTCCATTAAGAAAACAAAGGCTTACTTATTTGTAGATGAGTTGCTCTGCGGTGTGAAACGACTCAACTGTAACTCGACACCGCCGGTCTCGTTTAAGTTATCGTCAACATTTGCGCTTCCATTTGCGGTATGTCTTAGGCTGCCATTGACGTTTTCACCATAACCCTCAAATGATTCACCATCTGATAATGAGGAACATTGTGATTTTGCTTGGCCTGAGAGAAAAAGAAAGCGAATCATGTTAAATAAGTTAAATGATTTATGTGTAGGATGTATGTGTATATGTATTACCGGAGCTTGAGGGCGGACTTGAAGGTATTGGACTAGAATCGCTTGACTCCTCTTCAGCTTCTGCTCCCACATACAAAAAATTAGTATCAGGTTTGACAGTTTTAATGCTGGGCATAGGAGCCATTGCTGTCACTTAATTTTAATTTTTATTAAAAAAAAGATACTGAAAATAAAGAAATTAAGTTAATAATTTTTAATATATTTAATATATTAATTACATATTTCTATTAAATGATGAATACCATTTAGAATTCAATGTACTTAAAGCTTTTAATATAAAATTTGTATTATATTAATGAAAATAAATACAATAGTACTGGTAATTACATTATTTGAAACAATTCAAATAGAAAAGATATTTAACAAAGAATCATAACTGAAAATGTTTGATTGTAAGACTACGAAAGTTTATGATCTAAAGAGTAAAAGAAGTAGTTTTTCGGTTTTAAATACCGAAAAAACGTTTCTTTTTAATTAAATGAAATGAAAAGAACCTATGTTACAGATTATAGTTCTATTTCTCCAACAATTATCTTGGAACTCTGTAATATGTAGAATCTTGAACGCCAAACTTCACATTTTCAACATACTTAATATTTATAGCAAGAAAAGGATTAATCTATTATCTCTTCTTATTCGATTACAGTTAGAATTAAGAAAGAAAAATCGAGCAATCAAGAAAAATAGATTTAATGTCAGTATTGCGATATATTAAGATAAAATGCTGATAAAAACGCATTGATTTTAAATGTCTATATAATGTAAGAAAGATAATATAAGAAATATAATGTAAGAAAGATAGATAAGACAAGATAAGATAGATATAAGAAAGAGATTAATGAAAGACTCATCGAACCAACAATTGCCTGGAACGTTAATATATAGAACGTTGTGAAATTCAATTAAAAACTCTAAAATCTGTTTAAATTATATTAATAATAAATCACAAGAATTGCAGAATAAATCTTAGGTATATCAATTTCTATTCAACTTTTGGATTACAATATTGCGATATAACAGTCATATTCTCATTAATATTTTCATCAAAGTATAGTTCCGATTTTAAATAAATGTAATATTTTTTTTTGTCTATATAATCACAAATCTCTAAAGGTAATTTAATAAATTTAGTTGTGCGCCAAAACAAAACTAAAATTTAAATATGCTGACATTTATAAATTTTGTGGAGTAGAAATAAATTATCATCTATATTTTCTATACGAATCCTACAATTATTGAAGAGTTTCCAACATGTCTATTTATTTTTCGTCTAACCAGCAAATATCTGGAACTTTTTTGTACAGGACATTTTAAAGTTTATTAGAAACTCTAACAGTTGTTCATATTAAATCGTTAGTAATTCTTTAGAATCTCAGAATAAACATGATGGTTCAAAATCCTAT